ATTCAGAAGAATTCTCTTTTAGAGCTTTAAACCATGTCTTTCTTGCTTCAAAAGATTTATCAAATTTTAATTTTCAACCATTAAACTTAGATTAATTAACCTATAACAAAAACCCTTCAACTAAAAGAGTTCAAAATAGAATAACAACCCTCATTAAGCTTCATTTCCATTGGAAGAGATTAACAATTATCACATTCAATTCAATGTTAAATTAACTCAAAAGATTAACATTAAATTAACTCAATTCAATGTTAAACAACTAAGTCAGGCATTAAACAATTCAAAACCAGTACAGAATTATCAATCTCAACATTCAAATCCCAAAACTACACTGCAACCGTAATGCAACAACTCTAGAATCATATTCAATCATCTAACCAAGATAATCTAAATTTAAAATTGGAATTGGAATTAAAAATGTAATTAAAAACTCCCTAGTCAATTGCTCCAAGCTCTGTCATAACTCTCTGCTCCAAGAGGAATTTCAGGTTCAGCTACTCATTGTCGAACAAACCACTCCGCTGAGCTCCTTTAATGCTTCAATCACCGTTACTGCAAATCACGAGCTGAAAAAGGACAAAGGCGACGGACTGAGAAAATGAAACAAAGAGAATGGAAGATGGAGGCCACGGCGTCAATGATGGTGACTATGAGGACGGTGAGGCTCATGATTAGAGAAGGTAAAGTGAAGGTAGAAGGTAATGGAGGTCGCTGACGATAATGAAGATTATGGCAGAGATGGAGCTTAAGGACGATGGTGTTTTTTGGAGTGTGAGTTACGATTGATGGAGGAAGAGAATGGGTCACCGGCGATAAAGGTGACGGTGGAGGCCATGTGGTCAATGGAGGACGGAAAAAATGGTAATGATGAAGGTGAATGGAAGTATGGAGTTGATGGTTCTGTTGGAGATAGTGTGACAAAAAAAACAAGTCCCACATTGCTTAAGATGTGTTTTGTCGCGTTTAATTCATCAATAACCCATAATCATGCATGCAAAATTCTTCTTCATCTTTGGGCCAATCCTATTGGCCAATTTGAAATTAATAATTTCAAATTAATAATTTCAAAGCTTAGAGGAGAAGGGTATAAATACTAACTTTTGTTTTTAGGCTAGTGAATGAGCTTAGAAGAGAAGAAAGATCTCACGCACATGATCATGAGCCACCGGAGGCAAACACAGTGAAAATTCAACGATTTCCTCCCTGCATGCGAATTAAAGGTGAACAAGCACCTTTCTAATTAGAGATTTTGACAAAAATCTGAAATTAATAATTTTAGAGCTTACCTGAACAGTCTGTTGCCTGGCTGAGTTTATCCTTACCTTCTGTTGTTCTATTTACCCTGTCTTTGCAGGAGGAGTCTGTTTAATCCTAGGGAGTGCCACTTCCTCGTTTGCTTGTAGTCGCGGAATAGCTTTTAAGGACAGCCTCCGTAAAACATAACTCGGACTAATCGTTTTCTGCAAGTACTGTTGCCAACAAGTTCTGTCCTCTCCCCTCTGGTCTTGCCGTATTCTACCTTCCTTTAGTTGAATGATGATGATTATTCAACACCTCCCCTAGTCCTAAACTTCAATGCAGTGTTTCATGCTTAATTCCTTTTTCCCCTCTCAAATCTGAGGTCCTTCTTTTGTGTTCTTAAGATTTCACTAGTACTTCATAAAGCATTATCTTGGGTCCTTGAATGCTGGTCTGTTTGGTCCATTTCTATGGTGTCTCAAATTCAACAAACTAACTAAAATGCCCTGCAATACCATTTAAAACACTATAATACCATTTATCTTAATAATAATAAAAATATGACATTTTTGCCCTTTTTATCATTAATTCATGCAATCATTCTTCATAAATATATAGTCATCAATAATGTAATTTTAATCAATAAAAACACCAAAAGGGCTAAAAAATGCATGAATTAACATGTGAATAATTGAATATCAATGGGTTGATGAACAATTAGCGTAGTTGATAAATTGTGAAAATTTTGGTATTGATTTCTAACGAGGCTTTTTAGTTGATTAGAGTTTAGTTGAATTAGGGATTGGTTTATCATTGATTGTTGATTAGGTTTAGTTGAATTAGGATTAGAAATTTTGGTTATCTTATTGTTGGATTTGGGTTTTTGTTATCAAATGATATTATAATTGGCTTTTGGAAATAAAATGTTTATGGTAATTACAATTGCTTACTACGTTTCTCTGTTTAGGTTGCTCGCTAGAAATTGGTATGTTTCATTTGGTTCAATACAGAAAGACAGTATATGAAATAGGAAAAATTATATAAAAAAGTTAAACTTCCCACAACAATTATCCAATTAGTCGTTGTAAAAAGCTAGTTAAAGTTGCCATAAAAAAGTGTTTTGTTGAGTATTTTCCACAACTGTCGTGGGAAGTCTTTCCACAACAGTTTTGTAACCAACAGCTAAATTGTTGACAGAATAGACGCTGCTCTTGAAACTATAGTGAAAAGTCCATTTTAATTGGCGTAAAAGGCTTCTTCGTTTTTTTTAACAGTAATATTGACAACTAAACTAATTATATTTAGAACTATCACGATATGTATTAACAACTAATGTTAATATGTACCACACTCTTGTCATTGACAACTAAACAAGTTATGTGAATAACTATTGCTACATGCATTAACAACTAATGTCCACCTGCATCATACACTTGTCATTGACGACTAAGCTAGTTATATTAACAACTAATGTTTACCTATACTATACATTTGTCATTAATAACTAAACTAGTTATATTAATAATTATCGTAGCATGTATTAACCATTAAACCAGTCAATAAAGGTAACTTGGTAATTTTATAATTAGATTCTTTTAGCCACAAATCTCTTAGGACTCCAGATGTATTTAATGATTTCATGAGACCTTATAATAATAATTTCTCTTGAGAGTTGAATGTAATTTTCCCAAAAGTGAGAGGGAAACCAGGTGGAAACTTTCCAGCAATTTTGAACAGAAAATTAGTACTCCTCCGATCCTTAATATAAGACTCATTTAACTAATTTGATTAGATTAAGGAAATTAGGTAAGTTAGTTAATTAGAAGAAAAGTGACACATTTTTCTTAAAACACCATAATCATCTTTCTTAATACCCCCTCTTCCTCTTCCACTTGATTATGATTGAGGGAGTATCCATAAAGATAATTTAGAGAAAATTTATAAATATAAGAAATGGGTCTTATATTTAGGACCAAAATCAACTCAAAAATTGGGTCTTATATTAAGGACCGGAGGAGTATAATAAAACCGAAAGGTATTTTAGAGTATTAATAGAATAAAGTTATCCCTCAAATATCAAAATAATTGTAAAATCACTATCAATTGACAAACATGGACGCTGATCTTTAACTTTGTATTGCCTTTGGAATAAAAGAACATGTATATCCCAAAAGTATTTGTGGAGCAGTGACCTTTTCTTTTGATACCGTGTTAGAGAGTAGCAACTGACGTCTTAAAATTTAATACTAGTAATACCATGAAGTAATTGATGTTCTTAATTTTTTTATCAACACGTGTCACATCATGCTTGGGGATTGACTGTAGGAAAAAAAATCAAGATGTGAATAAGGCGAGGGGGTTCATGATGATTTGCATGAGTTTTGGAAATAGAAAAAAAATTAGTGTTAAAATATGTTTTTTTTTTTTGCCAGCTACTGTTAAAAAGAGTTTGGAATTTGGCTTAAATTCAATTTAATTCCTTAAATTTAAAAAGCGAATTTTTTGTATCTTTATAACACTATTAGTCTCATTTAACAAAAAATACTGACTTAACAAATTTAAATATGACTCTACAATTAAACATTGACAAAACGGTACTCAAAATTTTATTTTTTAATATAATTATTTTTATATTTTAAAATTTAATCATTTAAAGAGTAGATATGTACTAAAATATAAAAAAACATTAATCACATATAAAAATGATTATATTCTTCCGATCCTAAATATAAAATCTTTTTATAGTATAATTTACATTACAAAAGGGGTCTTATATTTAGGACGGAAGGAGTATTAAAAAAATGAACTTAGACCATGTTCGATTAAATGAAACTAATAGTATTAAAATTGATAGATTCAAAATATACTTTTTAAATTTAAGAAATTAAATTCAAACTTGATGTGGATTTACAGGATCAATGTATCAATGTGCATTTGTTAGGATATTTGTTTAAAAAATTGATTTTTGTTTTATGTGAATAATTAATTAGTTGTCATTTTAAAAATAAATTACCAACATTTTATAAATAAATTATTTTCTTAAATCAGAGTTTTAATTTTAACCTCGGCTGGCTAAAAATACCTTTTAACAGTTTTTTTTTTTGTTAAAGCATAAATATGCTTGTATTAGAGACAATCCTATTCAAAATACTAAAAGTTTAACCTTTTTTTTTTTGTTAAGACATAGATAATCTTATTCGAGATGAGTACTAAATATAATCACCCCTCTCAACAGATATTTAACTCTTGATTCCTCGTGTTGCCAGGACTATTTACAAGTGGCATTTTGTCCGTGCATTTACAGATGCAGTGCCGAACAGCCATGCCTGCGCCGTTCAGCCGCCGCTATTTTGCTTTTCCGATGACGATGAGATCAGTTTTCTGTTCAAATTTGGTGGCTGTTCTTCTTTGAATTGGTATTTCTCTTACTAATTTATAAAGTCAAATTAAAATAATTATTTGAGGGAGGACGACGTGAGATGGAGATCAGTGCACTCTTCCAACAAAGTATAGCTATTCTATAGCAATTTCTTAATAATTGAAAGATAGTAAGAAGAAAAGTCAACTTGACTTTGCAGAAAGAGATAACAAAGGACTTTTTCTTCCCCCCTTAAAAATCTCAAGTAACATTAACATATGAATTCAAAGAAACTTCCGGAAGCAAGTAACAATCATATCTCCGTTGTTGACTTTTTCGCTGTTATAGAAAACCTTAAAGTTTTGGCTTAGCTTGGAAATCAGTCATTCAGAGTATAGAGTTGTTTAATTTGAGTCCCTCTCTTTCTTCACTTACCATGTTTACAGGAATCATGTCTCAAACAAGGTTTGCTTGTATTTGAACTCTTGTTGTTCCTTCCTTTTCTTTTCCTGTTTCTTGGTTGCATCTGAGGATATAAAACACTGGCATTGCTCTTTGTGGCCTTGAAATTCACATTTATGTGGGAGAAAGAAGAGGGAACATATGCAAAATCTCCTGATCTTTGTTTTTAGTTTTACTTGTATATTTTTCCTTCGTAAAACTTCATCTGCAGCAAATACCTTATCGCCAAACCAATCTCTTATAGATGGCCAAGAGCTTACTTCTGCTGGACAACTTTTTGTTCTTGGATTTTTCACACCTGGAACCTCCAAAAGTCGATATGTAGGGATATGGTATAAAAATATTACACCCCAAACTGTTGTTTGGGTTGCTAACAGGGAGAACCCATTGAATGACTCCAGTGGAGAATTTACAATTGGTGCTGATGGGAATCTTGTTCTCTTGGATGGAGAAGAGAATTTTGTCTGGTCTTCAGGTCCCTCAAGAACAATTCAAGATCCAATAGCAAAGCTGCTGGATTCTGGGAATCTTGTTTTGATTGATGGTAAAGGCGATTCTGGTAGCTATATATGGCAAAGCTTTGACCACCCTACTGATACTATGTTACCAGGCATGAGGGTTGGTTGGGATAAGAATTCAGGCCTAAACAGGTACTTGACTTCTTGGAAGGGTGAAAATGACCCATCTGAAGGAAACTTTACCTACATCTTTGATCATATTGGATTTCCTGAAATTGTGCTTCGCGAGGGAGCCATTATCAAGTTCCGGAGTGGAATTTGGAACGGTGTTGGATTAAATGGAGACATTTGGACATCATTTACAGCCTTCAAGCCAGAACTATTAGTGAATGACAACGAAGCAGTATATTGGAATGAACCAGGAGATAGACTTTCAAGGCTTGTGATGAGATATGATGGACAAGCTGAAAGATACATATGGGACACTCAAAATTCAAAGTGGACTAGTATCTATGAGGCGAGAAAAGACTTTTGTGATAATTATGGAGCTTGTGGGGACAATGGTATCTGTGATATCAATAGTATCCCTGTTTTCTGTAATTGCTTGATTGGCTTCAAATCTAAATCTCAAGAAGAATGGAATGCATTTAGTTGGTCTGGAGGATGCACTAGGAGAACACCATTAAACTGCACACAGGGTGACAAGTTTAACAAGTTAAGCTCGGTGAAATTGCCCATGTTGCTGCAATATTGGACACAAGATAATATGAGTCTTGAAGAGTGTAAGATGAAGTGCTTGGAGAACTGTTCTTGTACAGCTTATGCAAATTCTGCTCTCAATGGAGGGCCTCATGGCTGTTTGATTTGGTTTGGCAACTTGGTTGACATGAAGTTGCTTCAAACTAAAGTAGGTCCACAACAGGATCTCTATGTCAGGTTAGCCGCATCAGAAGTAGGTAAGAACTCGTTCTGCTGCATTAGTACAGCAGAAACTGCTTCCTTTACGATGTCTTTGTTTTAGTGTGAAAGAGGCAGAGGATTGGAATCTCAGCTTCCTTTTCAGTTCTGTTTGCAAACTTCAGTCTAGGCTTGTGATATTCATGTACTAAACTGTTGCAGTGACATTTTCTGCTTTAAGCTCAAGTTACATTTTCATATCCAACCATTTGATATGGGCAGCATCTTTACAGACAATATGCTCATCCACTCATATTTCTGTGTACTTTTATTGTAGATTTTCTTTTACACACACACACTACCTGTTCTTAAAGATGCATTCATGCTAATAATCACTATGGTCTTCATTTTGCTTCATGGATGTGAAGGTTCCACTTCTACTTCTAGTAAAAGGAAAGTTGCAGTGGTGGCCATATCCGTGTCTTTGGCACTGCTTGTGTTGTGTTTCATAATGTTCCTTGCTAAGAAATTTAAAGAGAAGAATATGCGGAAGATTGTGACCGCCAATTTGGGTAAGATTCTTTAGATTGCTTTTGCGTACTTATCAACCAGGATTGTGCCATCCAATAGCAACTTCATATCTCTTTTAAATCTGAATTGGGGATGTAGTTTGCTGCATAATGAACTATATGATTGTTTCAGAGATTGAGGCAAAGAGCAGATTATTGACTTAGTTCAGCGATGCTTCTCGTTATTCGTTCTGTCTTTTTAAAGAATAAGTGGAACATTGCATTGCTATTAGTATAACCAAACTGTATAGATGACCATATGGATTTTTAGGAGGGGGGAAAAAAGAGAGAGAGACCTTTTATTCTATATGCTGTAATACCAATTACCCCCCCCCCCCAAACAAAAAAATTTTTTGGCAAATCTGTAATGCTGTTAACGTCAAACAGTCAATGAATTTTAAAAAAGTTTGTCAAGGAGAATCATGAAATTTTGAGCATGGTAAGCAATTATGATAGTCTGACAGGTAATTACTTCTCCAAATTGTAGGGCAGAGAAACCATAGTGAAGAGCAAGCATCGCCTCTTTTTGATATGCTTACCATTCTGGCTGCAACCAACAATTTCTCTAAGGAGAACCAGATTGGAGAAGGTGGTTTTGGCCCTGTTTACAAGGTGATTCTTCTCTTTAAAAATACACTAACTGTTATTTTTTTAACCTTGTAAATCTTACTTATGTTCATTAAAATTTAGGGTAAGATGTCAGATGGACAAGAAATAGCTGTAAAAAGGCTATCAAGAACATCGAAACAGGGGATCAAAGAGTTTATGAATGAAGTTGGATTTGTTGCCAAATTCCAACACCGAAATCTTGTCAGGGTTTTGGGTGGATGTGTTCAAGGAGAAGAAAGAATGTTAGTCTATGAATACATGCCTAATAAAAGTTTGGACCATTTTATTTTTGGTAAGATAACCTCTGGAAAATTGTAATTTGTCATAACTAACTCTTATGTCTAATTCTCTTTTAATTTGAATGACCTTCTCTGTAACAGCTTATTGAGCTTTGACTAACTTTGCTTAGATCCTAGAGGAAGAAATCTTTTGAATTGGAGGAAGAGGTATGAAATCATTATGGGGATTGCTCGAGGACTGTTATATCTTCATCAAGATTCTAGATTAACCATCATCCACAGGGACTTGAAAACAAGTAACATTCTATTAGACAATGACTTGCTACCCAAAATTTCTGATTTTGGTTTAGCTCATATCTTTGAAGGAGATCTTTCAGCAGTAAAAGCAAAAAGTATTGTTGGGACATAGTAAGTTGTATGATGGTTTACTAATAATTTTTCCACAAGAGAGGCTAATATAATGTCTTAGTTGTGGAATAGAAAAACTAATGTCGTGTTGTGCTTGATAATGTGCAGCGGTTATATATCACCTGAATATGCAGTACATGGGCTATTCTCTCCCAAATCTGATGTATTTAGCTTTGGGGTTATAGTGCTGGAGATATTGAGTGGCATAAAAAATAGTCGTTACAGAAGTCCAGACCATTGCCATAATCTGTTGGGGCAGGTAGCATTATTTAGTTACTTGTAACTCGGCATTAAGTTTTTAAGCCATTCCTTTATTGATTTTCCTGGGAACCAACACATACATCTTGTTTCTTAAGTATTTTCTATCAATTTTTCTATGATATTATATTTGCATTTTTTTGTTCCCCTCATATTATCTGTACATCATTGTACGCTTCAAAAGAGAGCTCTTCTACAATTGATAATGAATTTGAAGAACTTTACAGAATTGCATCTAAGCATTATTTGTTGTGATTTGTTCTCCACTACTGACATTTTTGGTGCATCTAGGCATGGATACTGTGGAAAGGAGAACGACCACTGGACTTTATGGATCCAAGCTGTGACAGGACAGATATGTCAACTGAACTAATCAAATGCCTGCAAATTGGTCTCTTATGTGTGCAAAAGTTCCCTGAAGATAGACCAACTATGCTGTCTGTGGTTTTCATGTTGTCCAATGAATGTATGACGCTTCCTGAACCAAAGTTACCTGGGTTTTTTATGGAAGAGTTTGATGGTTATAGTCAGGACCACTGTAGTAGCAATGCTATGACTATTACACTTCTGGAAGCCCGAAATTAGAAACTTGTCACGGTCTTATTCTTTAAAACTTATAGTTGTAATATGCAGAATACAGAAATGTAAGGTTCAATCTTATATAAAACTATTCTTTTTTCTTCCTTTCCGGTTCCTCTGTCAAGACGGTTAGAGAAGAGCTTGGACAGTTTGGTTTAATCTCATGGAAGCCTCATTTATCAGAACGGAAAATAATTTTCTCAAAAGAAAATAACGCCAAAAAGTTGGTTTAATTAAGTAAAGATTGACCTTACTCCAATAGCTAGTTCGGAAGTGTATTTTTGCTTTCTTAAGAATCCTGATAACTATTTATGTTTCCTTATCATCTTCAATAAGTTTCAACAGTTCTAAAGGGATTTGAAACTGAAGACTCATTAGAGCTAAGACTTTGTGGAAGACTACATCAGATTTCAGTAGGATTCTTCAAGTTTTATATTTTTTTTTTTCCTTATAGGCCTGAAAGAATACTTGAAATATTCAACCAGAGCATTTGAAATGGCCATACAAACACTTCTCAGCTCATTTGAATCTTTTCCAGCCCAAAACATCGTTCACTAGCATTTTTAGAGACAATTTTGGTCACTTTCCACGTTATCACGCCTTATTTGATGTTAGATCTTCAAATTTAATATATGTATATATAGCAGGAGATGAAATCATTAGTTATGATTCTTCAAATTTAATTTTTTAGTTAATTCTCTTATCAAACAAGATTCTTCCATCCAAGAGCTACTTCTTATGCTTCATTGGCAACAGGTGGAATGTAGTTTGCTGGGAATTAGCCCAAAACAAAGAAGTTGGTTCAAAAATTTGAACCGCAGATCAGATGATTGATTTATCTGACTGATGTTTCTCTTTATTCTTTCTGTTCTTTAAGAATAACAGGAAAATGGAAGTAGGTCAGATCAAACAGATTATTTATATCTCTATTTGTTTTCATCAGCTCTTTTTTTTCTCTATAGTATGAATTTTACTTTCTTTACCTAAAACTTTTGGGAAAATTGAAAGAAGGTCAAGAAATAGTAGTAACAAGGTGATAAGGGCTCAAAACTGTTGGAAAGATAGAAGGGAAGATAAATCTAAGAAGAATAGTAAAGTAAGCATCTCACTCGATCCTTTTTCGCTGGCCAAATAAGATGGAGAATCTCCCATGGAAAAAACAGATATGCTATTCACGGGATGATTAGTTCTAGGGTGGCTAGTTTATTTATAGACTGAAATTACATTTAAATAATGAAATAAAATCAAGAAATAATCCCGAAATTTTTGGGACTGATTCCAACAGCAAAATATCAAGAAACCAGACGTTGAGATCCTCTTAACATGGATCCTTATTTGAATTGACTTCTAAAATCTCTCAACCATAATTTAAATTAAACAATTACACAAAAAAGGAATTAAATAAAGAAATGCTAATTAATTAACGTTCTGTTTCTTACCTCTTCTAAAATAAGTCAGCAGGGTTTCATATCACAAGGTTACAAAAAACCATGTAACAAGGAGAAGAATAAAAATTCATAATTGAGATCACTTTAGTTTTTCTGCATTATTCCAGAGTAACCGTCACCTCTAGTGACATTCTTGTACTAGTTTCTCTGCTACTGTTAAGTTTATAATTGCATTTTAAAAGAAATTTAAGTGCGGATTTAGGGTGGCATGAACTTTAAAATTAGTGGATTTGATGGCACTTTCTGCAATAGTTTCTTTATCAGGGGTCTGCAAAAATCCCCATCCAACCCAAGCAAAATCTGACCTGATCCAGTCCAAAAGCAATGGCCCGAAGCAAGATAAGACTAAACTGGATTGAATTGGTTTCATCAGACTAGACGTGACAGGGAATTGATTCCTCAAACCAGTTGATCTGTTGTAGTCTAGCCCAAGTTCTTTTTAAATTTTAATCTATTATTTATATAATTTTTTCAATTCTTCTATATAAGGTTTTTATCAATTCAAATAACTAAGATTTATCTAATTATCTCTTAACTTCCTAAGTGATGAGCACATGTATATATTATCTAAATTGATGAGGATTAATAAATTAAATATAACATTATTAAGAGATTGAAAGGTACTGATCAAGTATGATGAAGCTTGGATCAGCAAAATTTTATTTTCAGTACTTATTTTTTGATTGATTAATACTTTTTATCTTTAATAATTAGTTTTGTTAATTGATCAATACTTGTGTTTTATCTTTGTGCAACAGTGGATAATGAGCAAACTTCCACTGTCGACCAATTTTCCCTTTGTTGAGACCAGTTTCTATGGCTATTGTTATTGTCTTTTATTGTGATTATTGAGTTAAAATATTGCCTCACATTAAAGAAAAACCTTTTAAAAAATAGACTGGACCAAACTTCAAGCTATCATTTTCAACCTAAGGTTTTCACTAAACTAACCATCGGGTTAATAGCTAACCCAGTCTAGTCTTGTCCATACATACTCTTATCCAGTTTGTACTACCTCTAATCCTAATTATAAGAGCTAGTTGACTAATTTGAAGAGATTAAGGAAATAAGTTAAGTTAGTTATTTGCAATACATAGATATTGTTTTTTCCAAAATATTTTTACTAATCAAGTGTATTGGTTAAAATTACCGTTATTAGAAAAACTATTTTAGGAAAAAATACAAAAATATAGGAGAAAAAGTATATTAGGGTCTTATATTTAGAACTAAAATAAAAATCAAACGAGCTTATATTAAGGACCAGAGGTAATATGATGTATATGCTTGATTTGATGATGTGACTTAATCATGTTCAAGTCAGTTAAAACTTTCTCATGACGTCTGTAATTGAAATTAAAGGACATTGCCTAGGATTTTCCATAGAAACTCTATGATTTTGATTCTTTTTCAATTTCCGTGCTAATAAGAACTATACTGCTCAATCTCATGCAAAAATCACAATAGATTAATTCATCACCCATTTCTAAGTTATTAGAATACGCATTGAATAAAGAAACTATATTTTTTTAATTCAGAAAATGAAAATTTTCTGTTTCTTATTTGTCCTAAAAGGTTTTAACAATTAAGTATGACCTGTAACTGAAAATGTGGCTACAAAGAAAGTAATATAATATAATCAAATGTCAATTATAAGGTAATGGAACTAAGTAATATTACTTCTAATATTCAATATAAGAATTAAATATAAGAATTAGATAACTGATTTGTAAATATTAAAAAACTAACTAAATTAGTTATTTATAATAAATATGCGTTTATTTCCTTAAAATACTCTCTTTAGTCATGTATATTGTAACTATCCTTTAATGAAAACTCCTTTAATACGTCTAATTAATAGGGATGCTTGGAAAAATAATTATAAATTTGGAAAGCAAAACAAACCGAGGTCTTGTGTAGTTCTAACATTTAAAGGGAGTATAATTAATCAAATGCCAGTTATAGGGTACTTGAATCGAGTGTCACTATTTAGTGAAAGTATCTCTCTCATATATACACCAAAAACAAGATCAAAGATGATCTCAAGACGCCGCAACTATTACAAGCAGGAAAATTTACATGTTCTCTGCTAAATCATTTGAAGTATACAAATCTGTTTTGTGAGGCTATGCTTGTTTCTCTACCTAGCATGCAGCATTGTGACAGTAACTTCATTCACACTGTATGATTGGTCTTGCTTACTTGAAGACGTTTCTGTTTCATTAGGGTTCCTTCCCACACAAAACCCAGGGCTTTTAGGCTGTGGCATCAATACAGTTTCACTACTCAACATCAATACCACAGTGGCCATTGTTGGTCTATCTTCCGCGCGCTCTTGAACACACAGGAGCCCAACCTGCACGCATCGAAGCACTTCGGATGGCGAATATGAATCTGCAATCGATGGATCGATGAGTTCAAGTGCTTTTCCTTCTTTCCATTGACTCCATGCCTATAATGAAACAGTTGTTTTTAGCACAATATGATATGACAAAGTATTAATCATGTAACTATCTAACAACATAAACTCTTGCACATACATGTCCAAGAAGATTCAATTCATCATTTGAGTAGTAAAACCCTCTGTTCTTCCTGCCAGTTATGATCTCGAGTACTAGAACCCCAAAACTAAATACATCGGACTTTATTGAGAAGAGTCCATCCATGGCATACTCTGGAGACATGTAGCCGCTGCATAATGAAAAAAATATAAAACATGAGGTCATAACATTAGGTCTCTTAGAGAGTATTAGAGGTTGTTGAAATACTCACTATGTCCCGACAACTCTCAATGTATTTGCTTCTGTTTGATTTGTTCCAAATATTCTTGCCATCCCAAAATCTGATATCTTTGGGTTCATTTGTTCGTCGAGTAGGACATTGCTGGCCTTAAGATCCCTATGAATGATCCTAAATCTAGAATCTTGATGCAGGTAAAGAAGTCCTCTTGCAATTCCACATATGATGTAGAAACGCTTTTGCCAATTCAATATGGATCTCCTTGCTTTATCTGGAAATTAGTGGATGAAAAAGTCATGTACATGAGTAAAAATTTCATTCACAATGAATCGAGCTTGACCGTAAGAAAAATCATAACAAACAAGATACGCCATGTGTATACAACTCACCAAACAAAATGGAATCAAGGCTTCTATTCTCCATGTACTCATAAACCAGCATCTTCTCATCCATCTCAACACAACAACCGAACAACCGAACAAGATTACGATGTTGAAGTCTCGCAATTAACCTGACTTCATTCTTAAATTGTTCAGTTCCTTGCCCAGAATTTCTGGATAACCTTTTCACCGCAATTTCTTGGCCTTCCATTAATCTACCCTGGCATAAGAGCAACCATTCTGCGTTAGTTTCTTAATTCTGCTGTATGATATTGATGATGGATTCTTGAGAGATACTGGGATCAAAATCAATTTACCCTGTAAACACTACCAAAGCCTCCTTCTCCAAGCTTGTTTTCTTCAGAGAAGTTATTTGTAGCCATTGATATGGTGTTAAAATCAAACAATGGCAACTCGAGTTCATCCATCTCATCTTCACCAGAGTTTCCTCTAGTACTTGTGAAGACTGACTCATTCTTTAGAGAATCTTGACTTCTCTCAAATCCACCTGTAAAGCAAGTAAAACATTTCATCAAACCCCTCATCTGCCTATCATAACAAGAATTCACATGAGAAAAACTACTTCAGTATTACCTCTAGATTCAGACCTGCCTTTCAACATTCTTTGCAATTCCCTTCTCTTCCAGAGGAAATAGATGAGTAATCCCACTAGTACAACAGATATGGCAACTGTAATGCCTATAGCCTTCGATTCCACATTGTTCTTAGATCCACCTGCAGATTCTACGTCATTTGAGAAAAACTGATATATTAGCATATTATATACACAAACTACCTTCAATCTTTAATATAAGTTCAGTAATTAAATACGGGACAGGAAATAATTATGGGTTAATTATAATTTTAGGATATTTGAATTTATTTTGATTTATCTGTATTTTAATATTTTACTATCAGGATTAATTGTTATTATTATTTACGATAAATAGTCTTAGGATTTTGTTCTGCAGACTAGACTTGATTATTGAATCAAATTGTAGTTATCATTCTCTCTCTATTTCGGGGTTTTCTCTCCTATTCTCTATTCTCCTTGTCTCTTCTCTTCTCTTTTCTTTCTCTGATCTCTTTCTTTCCCCCTCCCATTTTACATCACCCAGTTAATTAATTTGAAAAGACTAAGAAAATTACTAAATTATATTTATCATTTTTTCAAACTAATTTACCTCACTTATAGATTGATATATAATTTAATAACACAATAAAAAAAATTTGAAGTTCAATATCTAATTTAAGTCATAAATAAAACTCGCTAGCAGACTATGAGCTCACGGCATGAAAATTACTACATACTCACAATTTGTATATAAAAGAACATTGATGCAAAAAGTGGCTTTGTGCGCCGAGGGTCTTTTCCAAAAGTAGGCATAAGAAATTAAAACCAACACTGGAATTTCTCCTAGTACCACTAGAAACAAGTGGAATCGGTTCTGTTTTTTCCATTTTTTGGCCCCACTTGTAATCAACAACTATGCAACTTGAAAAAAAAAATCAGAGTCTTCAAAAAAGACAAATAAAAAAAGATGGGCACAAATTATGCTAGTTTTGAATTTTTAGATTGTTTGATAGAAATGGCCAAATATGGAAGAGTAACTACAACCACCATAAGAATGGCTCCAAAACACTTTTTTGGGCCCCACTTAAAAAGTTAGTGAGTTGGTGTGAGTTACAAAATTGGACTTCGCCAAACTCCATTCCCATTCTTAGAATGTAGTCTGTTCAAGACATATGATGCTTTAGGTTTTATTGGTGCATGGTTCAAAAACATATTGATGCCCGTGAATTTGATATATGAATGACCAATGCAAATAGACAATTCAACCAATCTATTCAAATTTGACTAATCTTTAAATATTGCAAATTTGGATTTAATCATTTTTTTATATAGTCCCCTGTCATCCAATATTGCCACGAGATGGTAAATCCAAAAACTTACTTGAAAAGTATTCTTTTGGGTCTATCTGAAGGGCTCGCTTTCGTACTAGGCGTAAGACTTAAATCTATTTTACATTTTTTTCTCAAATTATAAGGAAATTTCTATTAATTTGGGTAGTTTCTATCTAAATAATTAAAAGAATATTTTAGTGAATAAGTTATAACTACAACTGAAACAATTATAACTACACTACATCTTACTCAATATCCAAATATGCACAAATAATAATTCATCAATTCAATAGATATGTAATTTCATCTCAAATAAAAAAATAGTATTCTTTTTATTTTTATTTTGCACCAGAGTAGAAAATCCACTCACGTTTCAACGTTATTAATTAAGAAAAGAAAAATGTGGAAATAGCCCCTCAATGTGGGTCCAGGGTTAATAATCAGGGCATTCCCAGTTATTTTCCTTCTAGAAACAAAGCAAAGGATAAGCCTCCTTCTAGTGGGCCCACAAACTTTTTAAAAGCATCTTTTTGACTTAAATCGCGTTAACAATGAAAAATGAGAAAATGTAAATTAAAACTAGCATAAAAGTATTTGGAATACCAAAAATAAATTTTATTTAAAAAATCGACTAATTAATTAAGATGATTTTAGGATTACAAATTTTTAAAAGAATCACTTACTATTTTCCATGTTGCTAAAAAATTTTACAACAAAGCTTCAAGATATAACCAAAAGCTTTGGAAAAAAAAGATATAATTCCAATTATTCCACATTTTTCCCGTTCAAAAGGGCAAAATAAAATACTTTTCTCTGACCTGCAAATAGAGAGGAATGCAAATCAAACAAGTTACGTCTCAATTCACAATTACGAAACACACCAGTAAAACCGCTCCCCCAACTAATGTTTAAAGAAAAATTATTAAAATTTAATTCAAAACTAAAAAAATAAAATTTAATTAAAAAAATAAACTGTCCAGATTAATTTTGGACCACCATATTGCCCATCTTAAAAATGTGAAAAATCAAAATAACCACATATTCTGTCCCATTTAATTTAACTGTCCATTCCGGCCCCCCCCCCAAAAAAAAAAAAAACTGTCCATTCGTTCATAATTCTTACTTCTATCAAAGTACATTAATTATAACCTAATCTATTCAATAAGATTAATCTTAATCACACAGTAGTTTCAAATATCTGAACCGAAACAGATAATAATCATCAAAACCCAGAAACATAAAATCAATCGAAGAAACAAAGGATTAAAAACATACCTACATCAGAAGCTGCTAATCTGACATACAGATCTTGGCCTCCAGCAGTATAAACCCTCATATCTATGAGTTCATCAGACCACATAACACACCCGGATCCTCCATTGGTGATATATATGTTCGCATAAGCTGTACATGAACAATTCTTCTGACACAAACCTGCACACTCAACTAGATTCATACTTTTATTAACAAACACCGAGGTTGTATCCGGCAACTTCACGTTCTGCACCTTCAAGAACTTATCAGTCCCACAATCTAACTTTGTGTCCCTCACACATCCATCGGACCCATCTCTCAGATTCCAAGCTTGAATGTTCTTAGGACTGAATCCTCTCGTGCAAGTACAAACTGGTGAAGCGTTTGTATCACATATCCCATAAGGGCCACATTCTTTGTAGTTATCGCATTGGTCTTTCGGAGCAATCCAAAATTGGGTCCAAACTTGGTTATCTGGTACCCAGGTTAAGCGTTGAAGCTCACCATCTGGGGTTACAGTGAGTCTGGAATACAATGGATGGCTTCCAATTTTGAATGTGTAGTATACTTGGTGTTCATCCTCGTAGAAATCGAACTCGATCGTGTCTGTCCCTGATTTCATTTCCGGAACCCCACTAAATCTTACACCATTCCAAGGTCCACTTCTGTACAATTTTGTCTTATTGTTCCATAGGAAAATCTCTGGGAGGCCATGGAAATCGAGCTTGAAGGAGATAACGCCTGTGGATGGATCTTCTTTTGAGCTCCATGAAGTTATATGCCTCTCTATTTTTGTGTCGAAGTTATAAAGAAGCTTCATGCCTGGCAAGAGCGTGTCTGTGGGGTAATCGAAGCTATGCCATAAGGAATTCGAGGCAGATACAGAAGATTCTCTGATAACCAGATTCCCTGAATCGAGAATCTGAAGAACCGGGTTTTTCGCAGAGATGGTTTGGTTTGATGACCATATGGGTTTTCCTGTTCGATCCACAATCTCCATGTTTCCTTTGTTTCCGATCTTCAGAAACCCATTTGAATCCTCAAGCGGGTTGTCTCTGTTTGCGACCCAAACCACTGTAAGATCTGAAATGTTCTTGTACCAGATTCCTAGGTAGTATCTTGATTTATCTAGAGAGAAGAAACCCAGAACGAAAGTCTGCTTGGCCGATAAGAGTGTGTCGTTGGTTTTGAGAGATTGGGTTGAATTCAAGGTATCAGAAGAGAATGAAATTGCAGGGAAGAAAGAGAGGAAAGTGATGAAGAAGAACCAGAAAAGGAAGAAGAGGAGGTTCTTGAAACCTCCCATAATGTCTGGTTTTGCTGAACAGGAAAGAAGTGAGACTTTAGATTGTTAAAGGCGGTTTTAGTAGTTGGATTTCATTTATGTATGAAGCCAGCTTCCGCTTTAATTCTTCTATCGCGGCTACTTTCCACAGCTGAATTTGACGGTTGGACCGTTTGAAGTTGATTAATGATGATTGTTTTGGGAAACTTAAAAGAAAGTCTCAATTGAAAATTTTCTTTGTAAGAAGGATCCCGTAAGTTTTTGTATTCAGAAAGTATCGATACCGGAGCCACGCAAATCTTGCACACGCCAAACACGTTGATTTAGGGTGTGTTTGGGTGACACCCCAAACCATGGTTTGGGGTGTCAATCACCCAAACACCCCCTCTAAAAACCAAAACCATGGTTTTGGGCCAAAACCATGGTTTTGGAAAAAGCAAAATTTTTTTGCTTTTGGAGAAAAAAGGGAGAGTGTGAGAGCCTATATGATATGTATCTTGTTATGTTTTTTATAAACATATTTAATCTTATATTTTATAAATATATATACACATTAATTATTTATTAATTATATTATCTTATGTATTATTAATTATGTTGGTAAAAATATATTATTAACAATTTTATTCCTTCAAATTAAAATATATCATAAAATCTATTTTTTCTGTAATTATCATATTAACTTATGTCTTTTTTTTTAGTAATTTGTATATATAAAAAGTGCTTCTGATAACAACTATCCAAACACTCTCACTTCTCAGAATCACTTTTTTATAAAATCTATTTTTCACAGAATCCATTCTCCCCAGAATCTATTCTCCAGAATCACTTTTTCAAACCACGGTTTGGTTTCATCCAAACACACCCTTAGTTAGATCCTTCTATCACCAATACAATTTAATGGAAGATTTTTCCCAATTTTACAATTTATTATTTTTTAAATAGATAAAAATGTAATTTTAATTCTAATCTTATTTCTAATATGTAATTTTATCTTTGATTTTTTGGTGCAATTTTAGCTGTGAGAAATAAAATTGTATCAAAAATCAGGAGTAAAATTGTTTTTTAAAAAAAATCAAGAGTAAAATTACATATGAAAAATAAGATCAAAATTAAAATCACATTACAAAAAATATTAGGAGTAAAATTACATTGAAAAAAGATCAGAATTAAAACTACACTTTTAGTTTTTACCCTTTTTTAAATTTTAATTTTATTAAATAATTCATTCAAGGGAAAATTGCTGAAAAGTTCTTATTGCAAACTTTATTTTCCAAGAGTACCAAATTTGTTTAAGCATCCAGATACAGCTCGCCTTCAATTGGGTGTAACGTAACTTGAGTTGTTTGTAAAATAACAGATATTTACACAAAATTAAAAATATATTATATACAATTAAAGAAAAGTTGTGTCCATTCAAAGAGTGCGAAGAATAAATTTTGTAATAGGGGAATTTCTAGTAATTTTTCCTTCATTCTTTTGTACTCTTAGGCGACGATTTTCCCTTTCAAACTGAGAAAAGAAAAAGAGAAAAATAACCGGCCATATTTATTTCATTTGTGCCTCAAGCCAATTTTCTCATTATTTCCTCTCTCAACGGTCCTTTTGATTTGGTAGTTCGATTTTGATCGTTGGATCGTTTGATGTTTAGGGATATTTGTTTTACTAGTTTTTTTATTTTAATGTTTTATCAAAAAATTTTGCCAAATTAATTTTTTATCATTTCATTAAAAAAAATAATACATTCAAACCATCTAAATTTAATCTAAATTATTAAAAAAAGAAAAAAGAGGGAAACATAACCATCTATATTTAGCTTGAGTGAAAATAATTTAATATCTCACTTAAATTTTGATTTTAGTTTTGTGAATGCAAGAAATAGAATTAATATAATTTTTAATTCCTTAAGTTTGTTCTTATTTTAATTTTGATCATTCTAATAGTAAAATAGTCCATGTATTTATAAAATTATAGGGTCTAATATTTTAAATAAAAAAAACTTGAAAGATCAAATCTTATTGTTTGGAACTTGAGAAATCAAAACTAAAATAAAAACAAATTTAAAAAACTAAAAATTATATTAACCCAAAAAAATAGCCACCTCTATTGGTGTGTCAGGATATGCTCTCGAATTTAAATTTTTTTAAATCACTTCAATATTTATTTTTTTTTCTTTTACACACATCCAACTACCTGCAATTGAACCATGACAAGATTATTCAAACGTTAATTTTTTTCTTTTAATCTCCTTTATAAGTAACTTTTAATAGGAATCCAGCAAATTTTAAAAAATTATTTTACCCATATTAAATAATTTTAAAAGAAGTTTTACGTTTTCTTGCATGTATATTAAATATGAGGGGGGCTACAACAGACCGCTACATGATAAATATCTGTACTTTTTAATTTTTAATTTAATACCTATGTATTGTTTTAACCAAATCTTTAACTTTGCTCAAATAGCATTATTAACATGCCATCATATCAAAGTTACATGAGTTCATGGTGCTAACAAAATGAAATTATAAAATTTAGTTAAGGAAAAAACACATTGGTACCAAGTAAAAATTAAAAATTTATAAGAATGGAAAATGATTTTCCTTGTATATAATGTTGTAGGAATTAATTTTTAGGGAAAAAGACAATAAATACACTAGAAATTGTTAAAGAACAATCAGTATGGATGAATTTCAAAATTTCAATTCAGACTCCTTATAGTCTTTTGGAATTTTTAAATTTTGGCAAATTACGCAAATGTCATTTACTTTTTTCTCCCCTTAAATATTGCCAACTTAATACCTTTTGCCAGTTTTCAGCCGCTAGAGCTCTGCCAACAACCTCACCAGTGGCCAACTACCTGAACTTTGGCAACATGTCACCAGAATTCTTTTTTAAATATTTTCACAAGAGCTCTTATAACTACTATTTCTTATGTATTAACTATTCTTCTTTAATTATTGACTACATTTGTTTTTAGAACTCCAATAATTACTTTTGCTTAGGTACTAACTACTCTAATATTGTAATTGACTACTTTCATTTTTAAAAATTTAGTGACAACTCTTGCTTAGCTATTGACTATTTTAATTTTACTATTGACTATTTTTGTTTCAAAAATTCAAAAAATACAATAGTCAATGGTTATATAAAAGTAATCATCAAAATTTTGAAAACAAAAATAGTCAATAACTATATGAAAGTAGTCATTAAGAGTAAGAGTGATATTGTTTATAATATTTTAAAATTTTAAAATATTACAAGGAATCTGATTTGAAATTTTAAAATCTACCCATCCTTTTTTGTTGTATTTTTGAGGATATTTTAATATTTTTTTGTTGTAATTTTTATGAATTGAGGTGTTAACAAGCAGGAGTACGACCAAATTTTATCCTTTGCTGGGCTCAATGTGTCGGTGGGGCCTGTATGACCTCGTATGTTAAGTGGGGCCGGGCAATTTCCACTAAACAAACAATCGCAGTGGAGAACAAGAAAAGAAAGAGAAGGCGGCACATAGAATCCAAATTTGCAAAGAACAACTTTTAGTTGGTTTAGGTGTGCAAGAAAGAAAGTAGAACAAATCGACAACGACGATGCTTTCTCGTTTAAGTCAACATTCCCTGTTCTGCTTTTTTCTTGTTTGAATTATGCATAGTCCAATATTCTAAAAAAGACAATATATATTGGTGGGATACTGACCCAACATGTGTAATTCCCTGAAATTCAATTCTCACAGATTTGATCATTTTAATTTTCCTCACGCGTCGATTGTATGACATCGTCATCTTCTAGATTTTATGTTTAAAAAATCAACAAATCAATTATCAATCAATTAATAGAATAATGAAAAAAAAACTATATCTGGTCCTTAATATAAGAGCTAATTGACTAATTTAAATATATTAAAAAAATTTGTTAAGTTATTTATTTGTAATAAATAGGTATTATTTTTTCTAAGATACCCTTACTAATCATATATACATTAGCTAAAATTATTATTTCATTAAACATTTAACATGTGCAACTACTATAATCATTATTTGGAAAAAAAAGATAAATATGAGAAACAAAGTAGATTAGAGTTTTATATTTAGAATTAAACTAAAATTTAAACCCGTTCCTATATTAAGGACTGAAGGTAGTATTTTTTTTGAAAAGTCCTCTAATAATTAAGTCCTAAAAAACGTGTTAGCCTTTATTTCTGTTAAACAAATAAGCTATAATATATTTATTTAGCTTAAATATTTTAATTTATTAATTTATGCAATATAAAATATTAAATGTGATTTAAAAATATATATAGTGAGATTTTTAAAACTTACCGGAAATAGAAAATATTAATTTATTTTTATTTATTTAGTATTTCTACACATATGTCAGAATATTTTTTATCCTTAAAATGAGTCACCTTAGCTCATTAAATTAATTATATGACTGCACAATTTTACTACTAATTTATTGTTATGTATAATGTTATTTTTTGAAAAAGTATATATATTAAATATGAAAGAAGTTATAAATTTATTAAATTTTAATACGAAAAAGATTTTTTTTATTATAATAAAATATAGTAAAAAAATAACTTAGGAGTTTTACGTGATAGACACATTACTTTTTTTATTTTCCAGAATTACAAGCTCTTTTTTAAAAAAAATATATTAATAAAGAAACAAGCAACTCACCTGATTTTTTTAGTCTGATTTTTGGTGAACTGGTCCTAATTAACTTGAATTGGATTGCGCTGTTGATGAATATTTTTCTCATATGCACAAATAAATCAAACCCTGGCGATAGAATTATTAAGGGTTGATGGACATTTTTTCTGTCTTTAAACTATTTTTACAGGAGTATTGAATATTCAAAATTAATGTCTAAAAAATTGGATATTGAAAATTATCAAGTGACACAATATTAGCCTCAAACTCAAAAAACCATAGCAATGTCCCCCTTTTGTTAAAACGGGGCAAACACCGATTATCAAGTCTGGGCCGCACAATCAATAAATGTATGTTTTCGTCTGAAAGGCAAGGGAGATATTGTTATGC